TCGCGACGCGACTGGGTCGGATTTCGGTTTTTACCTTTCTATTCATGGTTTATCTGAGAAAAAGCGGGCGCTGGGTGAGGAATTCGTTAGCTTGTGGCCTGTCCGGAGCACATCCTCTAGGCCTCGTGTGTTACCAAATGTTACTCGTAATAACCGAGGTTGTCCTAAATGCGGCGAGGATGAATTTCGTGAAATGCGCATAAGACTAGTTGGAGGAACGTTAATTTCGAGGGCACGGCATATCTCTGCTCAGCGGTTTTGTTCTTCCACTTGCCTACCTTTTAACGAATCCCTCTGGGGCTCTGGTACATTTGAACACATAATTGTCAGAGTTTTTGTTGTACACTAACTGCTTATCCTATGAGTTGTTACTGGTGGACATTTGTCTAGTTTGAGTACTCATCTTGTCCCTTGTGCAGGGAGAGCCTGCGCTGCTACATGACTGCATACGCGGAACGCCGTTTGTTGTGCTGTTTGTGAAGGTCAAATGTTGCTGTCCACCCCGTGACAGGGATGAGCGTGCAGTTTGTGCATAGCTGTTTAAGCCTTGAGACACTTCACAAAACTTGGGAGGTCGTTCAACAGGCCTGTCTTCGCTGGCGTCCATCAACAATGGCGTGCTAGTTTCACCGTACGGTGTGGCTTCTTTACTAAATGGCTCTCGCCTTTTGACAGGTCTAGGATTCGGGCTACTTAATACACTAATCTGCGACTCAAGTTTAGTGGTTGTTCTTACCAAACTAGCAGTCAATTCCCTTTGTTCTGTGACCGTTAGGGTTAAATTTCACATTTCGCCATAAGCGCTTGAATGAGCCTAGCCAACGGTTTGGTTGAACATGCGTCACACACACACAAGCCGTCGATCGACATACCGTGTTTTGTAGCCCCATCGAAGGAATTGGAACAAAGCGAGCATGTGGTGACCGACGTGTCTGGACCACTGTTGACCTTGGATTTGTTGTTCATTTGCGTAGCTGAAACACTGCGTCGGCCCATTATGTGCTCACGTGGACAGTGAAATATCACAAGGCTTTGCGTGGCAAAACGCGCTAAGGGAGTTACAGCGGTAATTGCGTGATTACAAAATAGCCTCTATTTGTGCTATCTAGAAGTGCACTGCAATAAGTAATGTGTTGTCTAGTAGCCTTAAAAAAGCTCCTTCGAATGGTATCCCAATGTAGTGGGAAAAATAAAATACAACGCAGTTTTACAAGCAGGTCTTACCGAATGAACTGGCAAAGACGGTGTTCAGGATTTACCAGTGTGTCGTTAGTAGTACTGCAGAAAGACTGAATCCGTTGGATAGGTCTCGACGATCCGAGTCGATTGAGGGTACTTCCGAAGAGGTGGCACAAAGTGGAAGGCGAATAGAGAGAAGTAAGACATTTATCAAGGAGCGCGCGTCACGCGTGTCACACATCAAAAGTGTCACATACGGCGATGGGAAAAGCTGAGGTGGATCGTTGATGTGGATCAGGAACAAAGTGGGCCCCAACACAGTCACTTGGGGCATGCCACTTGTAATGGGATACCAGTCAGTTAGATGGTCGTAGACCTGTACCCTCCACTTTCGTCCAACAAGAAAGTCGCGGATCCACCGGGACAATGATCCACCGACACGGCACATCTTGAGTTTGTGAAGTAAAACCACATAGTTGACCTTGTAGGACGCTATACTGATATCGATGTATATCATGTAGACAGACTTCCTCTTGCTTCTTGTCTTTAACCTTTCAATCCTAGTCACAAGCAAGTTTGTAATGCATGACCGGCCTTGCACAAAACCGTACTGTGCGAGCTTGAGGACCTCCGCTGACTGCAGCAACTGCAAGAATCGCTTTTTACGATTTTCTCAACAACATTTGCCAAAACAGGTGCCAAACAAATTGTTCTGTAGTTGTCTACTTAGCCAGGGTTGCCGCCTTTCGGAATAAGCTTTACCACCGAACATTTCCAGTCAATCGGCAACTAACCTTTGGAAAATGACTTGTTGAAAAGGTCAGCCACGACTGGAGAGAAGATGGTCGAAAGTGACTTGTGGATCCGTGGGTGAAGCCCATCATGTCCGACAGGTTTGGTGCCGTCAAGGCTGGAGAGTAGTTGACATACCCCTTCAAAGCCGCAATCCAGACTGTCGAGTTTTTTATAAGCGGTACACCTCTAACTCGAAATAGACACCTCGTCCTTTGCAAATATAGAAACGAAGTGCGCTGCCAGCGCGGAGGCACGCTCAGTGCTGGAGGTAAGGGTCTGTCCGTCCGAGCCATCCAGCACTGACACATCACCTGCCGACATTGACTCCTCTACTTTCTGACCTTATCGTATTTTACTTAAGTATTACTACTATATCCTTGATTGCCCCTTTGCCTTATTCTTCCATTTCGGTTACCGTGTGGCTTTGTTAAGCTTTGCAGTTCAACTACGGCTGACACATGTCAGATTGTCCACCGATCTTTACGGTTCTCTACCGTGTATAGTAGTGCATGATAGCTTGACTGATACCTGAGGGACCGTCATGCTAGATTCATTATCGCATGTTGTATCTTTCCCCACAATTGCGGTTCCTATCTTCGTGAGCTACTTAATTTCTTTCCCTGGATCTGAATGAGCGAGTATCTTGTTGATGTTACAAATGACCGTTCCGATGAGCTTGTATTCCCTGTTCTGGAAAGATGCAATTTCCCATAATTTCACAAGTACTTACCTGGATTCGCTCTCACTTATACTAGATGGATTCTTCATTTCATTAACGCTGTCGCTTTCCAGCTGATGTTACAACAAACCTTAGTATAGAATACTGATTTATCCTCAGGTGGACAGAACAACTGGCTCCTCCCACTCTTTACTGCAAGAACATTATTACCTATCGCACACTTGGAGCTTATCAGAAGGCGTCCAAATAATCTTTCACTTCACCATGAATGAACATTTTTAAAAAGCAGCTACAAATACGCTAGAATTTACCTGCGCTGGTTAATTGTCTTGGAAAAACGGCCCGAATAGCCAGGCGGGACCCACTTTGCCGATACAAGAGGATTTCGAAATGCTACTGTACCTGTTTTCCCCCGACGTATCTATACAGTTCTACAACCAAGAAATACATCACATTCTAGAAATATAAATTCCAGACTTATCTCCCAAAGGGGCCGATCATCTTTAATGATTAGTACCCCAAGCCTAGATACCAGCACACTTTCGATCCTACCTCGATTTCCAGTAAGAGTACAGTTAAATATATGGGCTCAACAAAGACATTTCTGAGACCTTGACAACGACATTTATCGACCGTGGAATTATATTTTTATTCCTCCCTTAAAGAAATAAGCCTTTAATAATCTTGGTCCACCAAGTCTTTTCTACTTGCAGTTTATATAGTTTGCAGTCATTCACATTTTGTGACTAAAATTGTCCCATTTTCTTGTGCTACGTTTAGTTTCCAGATTAAGCTTTGATCAATGTTTGATCGCGCCTTTCTAGATGTGCCTCGTTCCATCATGCATAAATTTATATTTATCTAAGAAGTGTTTACCAGACGGACAACCATTGCAGCCGAAAAGGTCGAGTACTGAGCTCAAAATCCATTATTTTGTGTTCATGCACAAAGAGAAGGAGAAGGAGAAGAGGATGCTGGCGCGTAAACAACTCATGTTGTTTTGTGCTGAGACCTGTACAGCAGGGCATAATTATATCATATCGACCCTTAGCTCGACTGTGATGGTAGAAGCACAACAGTTGTTATTAAAAAAGAAAGATTATTCGTCAGAATGCAATTACAATGTGAGCTACTGCAAGTCAGGTCACAACACATTTCGCAGCTTTGAAAGTTTAGCTGTACAGTTTGGCTGCATTTTACCTCCTCCAAATCGCTTACACCTTATTCCCTGACAGGTTTAAATAGAATTAAATGCCAACAAGACTGGGAGTTTGTTTCCTACGGCAAAACACACGAAGGTGTTACTGATCCCATTTAGGTCCATTACAAGCTGGATAGCGTTAGGGTCAGTACAACGATGTTGACATAAAAATCACTCAAACGCAGTCAGGTAGTGACCATTTGTAGTAGCGTCTTTGCCGTCAACAGGTAACCCATGTCAAATTGCTTTATCTCTACCAGGCAGTTCACTTGCAGCCAGTATTCGCTGGATAGCAAATGTCATTTTATAAATGAGGCGCGCCTTTCCTCAACCGACAGGCTTCAAAATTGTAACAAGTTTACTTACTGAGGTGCGGGTAGCGTCAACGAAATGCTATTAAATATTATCCAACATAAATATACGCACCATTATATAATTTAGGTTGTGTTGGTATGCTGATCGAGTAGGATGCTAGACGGATACTTGCACACAATGCCCCGAAGCCGTGTGAGATGTGTGTGTTATCACTATTTGTTGAGGAGGGAGCTGATGCTTTAGACCCGCCTGTGGTTTAGTACCCAGCCAATTAAAGAGTTTTGAAAAGTTACAGTGTCTTGGTGCTAAATTTGCCGTAAAAGTTAGCCACGAATAGGTCCAAACATACTAAGTAGCAGCTAGATACTTAGTTTGTGAAGTTATTGTGGCCTGCGTATACATTTTCAAACAACTGCTCAGATACTTGCTTTGCTGTTGCGTCGAATTTTGGAACACTGTAGTAGGAAACGGGATTCGGCCGACTGTTGGTAAGCGGCAGTTAATTATTGTTAACTAAGTGGGGTGTGGAGATTATCCGGGCATATAGCGAAGTTTCCCCACAGATTAAACTTTAAGAGTAACTCAGTAGACGGACGTATTTATACATAATCAGCAGCTTTTGAGAAGTGAGTCAATGTGAAGAGAAGAAAAGACAACATACCCTCTTATCTGGAAACGGAAACAGCTGTTTTATCGAAGTGCACAGTGGAATGAAACCAGGCGTTCGCAAGAGGAGCTGTAGCTAATTCACCATCCCAATATTGTTAAAACTCGCCAAAATTCAGAAAAGAACGGGATGAGGTACGCAAAATTAAGTTTCACCACACTCACCTTAATGCTGCTGCGAAAATTACCGAGAGAAAAAGACCACGGACAACTGGTACTCCATCGAAGAGAACCGTAATAAAGTAGGGCAGAATTTGATCTGGTGCGTGAATGTCCCCTAATGTGAGAGGATCGCATCCAACGAAATAAACGTAAGCAGTTAGTCCACACAGTAACTGGACGACAAGAAACGCGCCGTTCAGGGGTATGTTCAGCAGTATGGCTCTAAAAAGTGCATACCGTAGTTGTGAAAACATTAAAATTGGTTATAACGCCGTCCATACAAATTTGGTTGTTTTGTGTTGAAATGCAGTAAAAATAAGCAAGGCATCCAACTTCCAAGAATGTGATCAAAGATGTCGGGTTATTCACAGATACATTAACAGTAAACTACCCGGTAGACAGAAAAAAAGACAACTAAACAGGTAATAAAAAGAATAAGTTACCAAGAAATCTTAGCATGCTGCATAGGTTAAACGGACTAAATGCAGGAACCGTTACTTTTGCGAATTCTTAGGTTTGTTTCTTTCTTAAAACATGGATAGGAACTGCTGACATACTGTAATAGGATGAACTGGTTTTCACTTAATTTTTTGGAGGTTGGGATAAGACTGCCATGAACCATCTCCGATTGAGTCTCAAAGTCGCGAACTCCTAAGAAAGCTTGAAGCGGCGTCGCCAGAAGTTGCGGAATGGAAATTTTCTATCTAATGCTGGTGCACCGAAAAAATATGGCCAAAATAGTAAATTAGTACCGTTACTCTTAGATTCGGTTACAATTATGATAAATTTAAGTAGTTGGAGAGCCCTTTTGAAGTACACGTTGTGTGAATGAATTGCGATTCTCAATCTCAATGTACACCTCGGTTCACGTTGAAGTCAAACTTGATCAACAAAATCACTGGGACCGTGTCCGAAGTAGATGGGAATTGGGTGTTGCCTGACCGAAAACACTGCCTTGACTATTTGGTATGGTCCCAGCACAAAGCCTAGTTCACAACATGCAACAAATGGCGTCATTAACTAGTTAGAACAAGTAAACTTCAACAAATATGAAAATTTCAAATTCCATTTTGGCAGTGGTAACGTTTGCCAGTTGACGTTATCAGCTATATAGAAGGCAAAATGTACCACTAGTGGGTCCTTTGTTGATGCACCTTCGGTATGTAACATAAAGATATTATTTTATCCCAGTTGTTTTTTATGTTTGTTCTCATCCACTTGAAATAGGGTTTGTATCCCAGCAGAAGCAATATGGTACCGTGCTCTGGACTTCATAAAGAACATCCTTCCAGCACTTTAACAGTTTAACTCTTCCTTCATCGCAAATTAGGCTAGGTGTCATAAGATTACACAGTGTTTGGTTTCGGCAACTAAAGATGACGGTGTGATGATCCACCAGATTTGGAAAAATCTCAAGTAGGACTGCCGCCATTTTTACGTCCTAGTAGCTACACTAACCTAAGAAGATAGCAGCTTAATTTATCCACGATTTAGAGTCGACTGATGCTCTCCGGAACTCTTCTTTCTGCCTGGTTTCGGAAAACCGTCCATAACTGAATAGTTCCCGACCCCACATCTACTTTGTTCAAAAGTGGTTTTGACGTTACATTATCCAATCTACACTACGAAATACAACATTTGCACATTGGGAGACTGCATGGCTCAACAAGTCTTCTCGTTATACAACGAAGCAACCATCTTATCGGATGTCTTCAGGTGAAAACAACAGTGTATCTACCAAGACACACTTCATGTTATCGTCCATCACATGCTCACATACCAGAACTCCCGAAGGGAGTTCTTAAGCATATTTCGGTTATTATAAACCAATGTTCTATTGCTTTATCGCAACCATAAGTCAAGCTTAGTGTTGATATGATGTGAACGTTTGGCCCAATGTGAAGTTGGATCGCTAAATACAGGCGTTGTAACTCAGACTAAGGCTAGATACTCAGGTCAATCGGCATGTTTTGGCTTTTCTTATACCATTAGATAAACGTGTACAAGCATTTGTACAAAAGCACAACAATTCAGATAAAGCATGAATGCATCCTTAGATCTCTGTTGCGACTTGTAAAAATGCTATATGAAACGGGTATAATCGCCTATGAATGACTAGTGGTTAGACAAGATTTAAATGTACACATCTATCTAGTTTACGCTTCTAAATACTTTACAGAGATTTCCACAAATACAGGACGGGATAAAGAAACTGATGTTACATGATATCAATCGAGAAAACTTTCTGCACTGGAGGGAGTTTTGCGTGCAGAGTACCGCCAATTCTATTCAAGCGCTCAAACTACTGAGTTATATTGCGGCCTTACAATCGTTTTTCTCTCTATTTAAGCAATAACTCTAGGGGGAAAGCAGTGGCGAAACCAATACAGTGTTAACAGTTACATGCAAGTCGGTGGAGTAACGGCCTTCCGTACCGGATAAAACACTGAGCAAATCTCAAACATCCTAGGACACATGCGCGCCAAAAGATTTCAGACGCACATTTTAATGGGCAAGTTTGCACAAGGTGACACACTACATTAGTCATCGGAAACAATGACCTCGCATATCGCGAAACGTCAGCCTCGTTCGATGAACTCACTTGTAAAAACTGCAAAGTATTCTGTCAGAAATTTTCCAAATTGCAATGAGCAAGGAGCGAATTAATTCTCATAAAGGTCATATCAAACGTTTAGGAAAGCTGATGGGTGTGTTCTGGACATAAATTACTTCCTGTTTCCATAGGGCGCTCGCTGACGAAACTAATTTACTTTTCTACGCACGGAAGGGGACAGGTATCGTTGTAGCATTTAACTAATAACTTATGGTTCGATCTATAAGATTGCATCATCCGTTTACGTATTTATTATTGAGTGCTCTTAGTGTCGCTTATTTAATGACCGAAAGTTACTACATCGCGTGTAACAGGAAGTATCAAATCGACTTGAAAAAGGAAACTCACAAACGAGCTGTTTTCAGATCTTTACAAGCCAGATATCGTTGAACCATCGTTTGGTTTGTTGCATAAACACTCAGTATCATTCCAGCTCCGCCGATCGACATGGTCCAAACTGTGTGTCGCTTGAATGGATTCGGATCAAAGCTAAAATATTGCGATATGACAAGGACAAAACATTGAAACGGTCATTAGCAATAATTTGCTTTCGCATTGCAGTGACTGTGCGCAAAATCTTTTATGAATACACCTGCTTATTTTGCTACATCGTCATCTTCTCTATGTAACCATTCAGATCGAGCATTAAATGCAGATACAGATTTGTACGATGCGTTCAAAATTAAGTGGCTCACCCGTAGTATTCTAAACGTTTCTTCAAGCATTCCTTGTGTACATGAAACCATACTAAGACATCCCAAATCCTAATACAGACTATCTTCTTAACAGAAGTACCGTTTGCTATTTCATATTACTGTTGTGCTAGAGTTTAGGGACACTTTGCCTATACTAAAAGTATTTCTGCCCTGACTGATGCCATTTTCGAATGCTTATCATTTTTACGTGTTCAGCCATGTGATGGGACCGCTTTCCATCATAGAAATGTCTCAGTGTGTCCAAATATTTCTCATGACGGTTTAAAGTTGAATCGGGGTGGATGTTTTCTTCAAGAAAGCTGGTAGCCAGGCAAGGCACATCTAGTTTTTACAGTCCGCTAATTTTCCCTATTTTTATCATGCAGCTAGTTTTTTCTAACCCGTTTACTTTCATTTCAGCAGATTTCTGAAGAGCAGACGGTTCTATTACCTGGTGGAACCGGGGAACTTGGAGCATCATGCATTGGTCACCTATTTTTTCTCTAAAATATGTCATCATCTGATATCCACCAAGAAATGTTCACTATTTTACACGACAGAGACTTCCCATATTGCATTTGAACGCTGTGTGCTAAATTCAAGCGCGGTAGGAAATTGTAGACAATGAGCAGAGGTCAGTGAGACCGCTGCAAGATACTTTCAATGTAACTCATTACTTTGAGGTCGGTATGATCACTCAAGTTCGCCGACTACCAACTCGTATGATAGCAGAGTAATTGGGCATCACGGATGAGCGAATATTCTGAGGTATGGATCTATGCTACTCAGAAGTTGCCACTCGATGGCTGTCATGTCTTTGGACTCCTGAGCATAAGCGCCTTTGGCTTGCTATATCAAAAAACAATTTCGAATGCTGGGTCAGATGCCGATAATTTTCCTGCGCAATTTATCACAACGGATGAGTGTTATGCTCAAAACTATCTACCAGAAAGACAAGAAGAAACCAAGCAATGGAAGGATGCACAATCTCCTACGCTCAATCAGTTCAAAGTTACGTCATCAGCTGGAAACATGATGGCATTTGTTACTTGAGGTTTTCAAGGTGTGGCACTAATTTCCTTAGAGGTCCTACCACTACAGGAAATATTGTTGTGTGGTACTAACACTTCTCAGCGAAAAGTTCTAGAAAAAGCTGACGAGAGGAATCATTTTTCCAAGGACTACGCTAAAGTCCACTCTTCTTTGATTACTCAGAAAACAATACAATATTGAGGTTTCTAATGAATGGTTATGGTGCAAAGCGAAGAAATTTAAAACACTGTATAGTGTCTGGAATTTCCAAGGCTCAAATCTCCATTCACCCCAAGTAGTAATAATAAAATGGCAAAATGAATTGTTAGCTGTACGCTGTAAATGAGATTCCCTGTCGCGCGACCACCGCCAGCATCGCGTGGGCTATGGATACCACTAGGGCGCAAGCCTCCACGCGGATTCGAACCGGTGACCTTATGATTGCAAGCCAAATGTGCAGACCAGTCGACCAGCGGCCAACCCCACGTTACTGAGGGGTTGAGACTCAAAAATCTTATACTGCGAGCAGGCAAACAAGACCTAGTTTGCTAACGTTAACGGTTCGTAAATACCATACACGTGACAAAAGGCGAAAGTAGAAAAACTGCGATAACCAGTGATGTCTGAAGTTCTGAAGAAGCCATCTGATTACGAAGGATGTTTTGAACTAGTCCTATACCCACATTCTTATCGCTGGAGTTTACAATGTGCACGACGTGGGTACATCAGCAACCGATGGTGCGCAGTTTAAATCCAGTTTTCAAGAGCTAATTGCTATCCACCCTATTTACAACCACGTAACCTCCACCACTAGATTTTGAACTGCTAAGTAGCTGTCGATACTCGATCTTGCGCTTACCAACAAAGAACTAATGGTCGACGGGATATTTAGAAGCACGCCACAGGGTCGCAACAAAAATGTAACTCTATTAGTTGACTACATGTTTTATGCGGAATATCCAGAAAATGAGGATGAGAAGGTGCATACTGTCACCCACTATGACGTGTTACCTATTTTCCTAACTAGATGCCTCCAAGACGTTGCCTTGGAAACTTTCACAAGGACTTTTAGTAAGCTACTAGCGCACGGATCGGAACAGAAGTTCTGTCAAAGTAAAAATATAACTCCTTTCTGAGAAGCAGTACAATTAAATGTATATCTTTGAGTGATTTGGCATGGCGAGCTCAGAAGGACTGCTCGAATGCCGAAACATGGACTGCATAAGTGACACTTTGTGAATGCAGTGTCAAACTGATCTGCGAGAACATGATCGCGCATCAGCAGGAGTTAATGAAGCGATACTGCACGAACCGTAAACTTCTGTACAGGCACGTTAAAAGCCTTCATAGGGTGAAGTGCGGGTTTGCATTACTGGTCACGGCTGCTGGACGCACACGGTCAGCCATGGAAGCATCCAATCTCCTACGGCTTCGGTACTCCCAAAGTTTCCAGCAGATAATGAGCCCAAATAGTCTTCTCGTTTCTATTACTCCACCGTCGGCTTTAGACAATATCGCCTTCACTGCGGAAGCTGTGTTAATAAAGTTGCTCTCCCTTCTTATCCGCAGTTCTCCTGGTGTTCACAACAGTCGGCCGAGTGCTCTGCAGGCAGTAGTTAACGATCCAGCAGAAGCACTGACCATTTTCTAGCAGCGATGTCTAGAGGAGGACCATATTCCAGCAGCATAGTTGCGAGGGGTCATCACTCCTATCCGTTAGGGAGGTAGCCGCACTGATCCTACAAATCACAGTCCAATAAGGCTGCTTCCTGTAATGTTCAGAGTTATGGAATGAATCCTTGCAGATGCGTTGATGCAGTCGCTAGAAAACCACAAGTTACTAACCTCAGATAAACAAGGCTTCCTCCAAAAGCTGTCATGTGCCACTACATTATTAATTGTGTATGACAACCGGGCTGATGCCGTAGATGATGGAACAGAATGCGATAGCATCCACTTGGACTTCTCGAAAGCATTCGAGCGCTTAGATTATCAGATTATCGTTCACAATCATCGGAACTACTGCACTGGCGGCCCAATCTTGAGTGGGATAAGCAGTTTTATTCACCAACTTTACTTGGAAGTGAGAGTCCAGGACTCTCTGTCCGATGCAATTAATGTGGAGTACGGTGTACGAAGCGGCTCGGTGATAGGGTCTAATATATTCTTTGTATTCATAAACGATATCTTTAGATCAAATGCATCCAAGTTCCTATTTTTCGCGGATGATATCATGATATGGCGAATGATCAGAGGACCGGAAGACCATGAACTGCTCCTTTGCGATCTTAACACAATTACGAAATGGTCAGTTGGGAAAACTGCACCATTTAAAGTATCTAAATGCCTACTTGTACAATTACTCCATGCACATAGCTACACGTATTTGTTTGGGGCAGACGGATTGCAGACCAGATTCCAGGGACGTGACGTTAGTGTGCTCGTACAAAGTGACCACAACCGTTGCGGAAAGAGGCAACCAGCAAGTCGGTATTCTGGGAAGTGCATTAGGGAGATTTGACCCATCAATCTTCCCAATGATGTACAATTCCTACCTGCGCCCAAACGTTAAATACGCTATATAAGATTGGCAATCTTGGTTGAAGCGTGACTTAGAAGCATTAGAGGCCCCATAACGAAGGCAACAAAGAATGTAAAGGGTCTGCGCTATCACTCTTATCAACGATGACTGAAGTTGTTGGGATTTCTGCGGACACTACTGAATGCTGCGCGGTGATGTTATAGTAGTGTACCAGATATTGGGTGACCCCAACCCCGTATACCGCCATTTGCTGAAACTTAGTCACTACAGGTAGCTCTGGGGTGACTGCTTGAAATTAAGGGAACAACGTGGCCGTCTAGAATGTCGGCGGAAGTACCTATCTTTTAGTGCTTGCCAACCCTGGAACGCACTCCCAGTCTTACTTGTGTCCTCCCTACTTTAGACATATCAAAATAATTGGCTGTTGCTCTTAGCTCGTAGCACTTTGTTATCATAACTACGCCAAGTTGGATTAGGCCAATTATGCCCTTCTACACACACAGACCAAGCAGGCGGCGCATAAGCGAGTGATCATATTTTACTTGTCACATGCCTTACATCAACGATCACTACACCCGTGTGTTTCTGTATGCTTATTCTCGATGATTCTTTTACACTAACGTTATGTATCAACATATTTATCTCGGTAGAACCCTCGGTAGATGACTCACATATATTTTGTGTTGATCGCATTCGTCCCAACCATCCTGTGGGACGTGTCAAGCACTTGCTTTTATTTCGTGCTAAATCGTTTATATTGTTAATTGATGGCCACCAATGTACTTAGCAATGTACTGACCCATACTTAAGAACCAAGCACAGCAACACGGTATGTCTACGGACATTGTTAGTCCATCCCTTCTTCTGCCAGTACTAGAATTAGACTAATGCATCAGAACTATCTGTTGCACATATCACGTTTGCCGTGTTTATGTCCAAATGCTGTGTACCTCTGCCACATTCATTTTCTTCTTTAGGTGTGCAGTAATAGTTCGCGAATCGCTCTTGTACGTCACTTCACAGCACAACATCTGTTACTGCCCCACAGACATTGGTACCGGCGAGGATCACGAGCAGTATTCAACGCAAATGCATTAAACGGACAAAATTAAGTCGTTTGTTGCATACGCAGCTTCTATTTACATCTTTTGCTACTGTTGTACGTGTCATAGATTCTCATACTCATGACGTATCTGCTAGACGGATGTCGCTCCAACAATTGCTGGTTGTATGAGGGTTTGAGTTGATTTAAAGGAAGAGGTCACACAACATTTTGACGGTGTCCCATTGACATAGTGTTCTCATGATAATATAGTCCACGGCTGTGCTCTGGGCGCAAATGTTATGCCTGTCTACCCCAGTTTTATATCACAGTGGTATGTGTCAGAAAAGTAGCAACTGTATATGGAGATTCCGTCTATCCAGTTTACACATCCTTGGGTCTTATTCCCTCATGTTTAGATAGGATACGTTTTGGGTCTTGTAGAATCTGTGAGTAATACAACTACATTTGAGATTGCCTGTCGCAATCCATCCACACAATGTGTACTTCAAAATGACTCTCAAAATCTAGCACTAACTTTTGCGCAAGCGTTGCGCCTCGTGACCCGGTGGCTTAGGAGTAGCCGTCAGAACTAACATACCATTGGTCCCGGGTTTGATGCCTGCTGTCTCTATGTGACGAGACGAAATAACCTCGAAACGCGTCATAGGAGTGCAGTGTTATCGGGCAGGCAACACCCAAGTTCTATCTGCTACAGCTACATTCCTAGAGATCAAAAAACTAAGGTTCACACTTCAATGTGAATCGCAGTCAACATTGAGATTGCCTGTCGCAATCCAGCCACAAAAGATGTACTTCAAAATGCTCCTCTAATTCCATGTGATTAAATTAGTTAATTTAAAAATAAAACATGGTATTACCATATGTAAACGTTTGCATTTTAACAGACAATTCTAACCACAGGTTGCTTCAATGGTTAAACGATTTTATTTCCACTGATTTAGTGGAGCGAAAACAGGGAATATAACCTGTTTTAGGATGTGTTCCCATTGTCTGACGAGGACCTCTGCGAAAAGCGACCGCCACATATCTTAGTTTCCAGCGGAGACGAGAGATTTCAGGTGAATCATTATCTCCACTGCTTCAACCCCAGACACACTTATGATGTTATTCAGATGTAATTTGAGTTGCTCTTAAGATACATCTTTATATACAGGATATTCAAAGTTTTAGGTCAAGCTAGGGCTCAAACTACTTGCTCCGCTTTGTATCTCTACCAGAAGTATTGTTTTGATGCCGTCAGTTTCTCATTACTGCCGTGTGCGTAGACAGCGGTCGTTTTAAGACGAGGGCAAATTTGTTTGGGCACAGCTGCGTAATATTCAACCGATTAGCAATCGCATTAGCATGGTCTCAAATACTTTCACGGAAATAAGGGAACTAGTTGGAAGTTAGAAACAGGTCCCAGTGCACTAGTTAACTCACTCAAATGATTGTAGCCTCTTTCCTTGACTGGCAATGTCATACAATGTAGCAATCCCGCCAACACGAACTATCCCGACTGCCACAATGGCGAGCAATCCAGCAGTGAAAAGGATAAGCTGCAGAGCGTCAGTCCAGACAACCGCTCGAATGCCACCCTAAATGGAGAACAAATCTTATTCTCTGAAGAAAATTGGTGTCATGGATTCGAGAGTATGGCGTAAGGTGCGCGGAATGTAGGTACCAACAATAAATGCTGCGGCCCCAATAGAGTGGGTAAGATTACACAGCGGTTCTAGTGGCAGACATTTAAAAATCTACTTTTGACTGATAAGCTTGTAGGAAAAAATACGACGCATTCATAAGGCAATTCATTGTGGTCCCTGCGTTTTAAGCAACCGGAACTTACTAATCATGTTATGGAACTGGTATTCAGCTCATTAGCACGGACCGGCAATCAGTAGTTTTCAGCGAATTTATCGTGCAACATTTGTTTTTGTGTAGATTGAATTTATAGTAGTGCTTTGTGGGGTTGATCTAGACCATATGCCTACCTGCTTCAGACCAACGAATCATAACCAAGGAAACCAAACGTTTACATAATGACAATCTGTGATGCAACAGTATAACGCATGCAACAGACAAACTAAACAGATGGTGAACGCAATTGAAATATTTTCACGTAGTGGAACCACAGTGAGAATTAATTTAAGTGACAATTTTAGGTACACTTGAAGATAGTGACATGTTAATCAAGAAATGAGTCGAACATTTTAACGAAATTACCTACGCTTGACCATGGAAAGTGCACAGTTGGGTGAAGTGTGAGGTGAAAACAGCGAAAAAATCGTAAGGGTGACTTTGGGCGCTAGAAGAATTGACTAGCATAATTCACCAATTTTTCGAGTTGTATGTAAAAATGATGGATTACCAGCATAACTTTGGCTTTCATGAAAACTGAATCCGATTGATGCAGTCCTATTGAGTCCTGAATTAATTCACCTATGGCTCGAGCTGAACGATAAAAGTTTACTCGGCACACCGTAGAACAAGGTATCGGAGTTCTGGCTCTTAGTTAATTGTTGACAAAAGGCTATCGTAAGTTTCATCGCGAGTACGGGCAGTAATGACGTTGGCAATGATGCGGCATTCCGAATAAAACAATGGTACTTATAAATACCGCCATGACACAAAGGGTTAAGAAAAGGCCGAACAACAAATACGACGTATAACATATGCTCGCTCATCAAATGACGAATTTTCATAACTATATATATATATATACGATGTATTAAAACCATCTGTTGGGTGATTTGAATGATGCAAATTTCTCCATACTTTAGCTAGGATTCTCCTCTGCAGACAGGCGTCACGATGCAAACGTTACCACATTGACTTTTATTGCTTTTCCTGACAAGAAATTTTTATAACGCCGACCAATATGTCTTGAATTGTAAGCAGTTATTCTTATCTAGCTATAGTGAACTGTTATCGCAGCTAAACGAAATCACTGTGTATCCCGATGACAACTCTGTGTCCGGAAACCCAACCGTTCCGTATCAGTTGCTTCTTGATCTTACTTGGTGACTGGAGCTCTGCACTCTCTGATTCAGCACGCTTACAATATTTATCATTCTGATTAGGACGTCACTCAGTTAAGCAAGCAAGCAATGAAAGGTGGCGCTTAAACACTAAGGACGATAGTTTCTCCACCATGCATATGCATCCAACACACGGAATATTAGATTAATATGAAACAAGACATTTCGAACGAGTTCTGCTATTGCTTTTTTCAGTGCCAAGAGAACTCCTTGTGTCTTTGATTGTCTTAGCTCGAAAAAGCTGAAAGGGCACTGGCTGGTAGACAAGTTCCATCAAACACTAAAGCTCATACTAAACAGGTACAACCGTCTCATTTTTAAGGCACACCTCATGCAGAAATAAGAAATCTATATAAGTGTCTAATATGAACTATGTAGAGAAATGTGTTGGTGTAATACGGCAGAAATTTATATTCATGCAGTGTGTCCAAGGTAGGATAAACAAAAATAACGATGTGTCAAAACCTTGCACTTATGATTGATCAGTTATAGAATGTAAAACATACCATGGCAGTGTAGAAGGTGGCCACCAAGCCGGTTGACAGAATAGATATCCAAATCTGTAATCCGCTGACTGAAACAGATAACAAATGCAATTACTTAGCCTTGGAACAACGACGGTTGAGGGAGAATATCAACTGAGTAACCAATAACGAGCAAATGGACGAATTCACAAATGGTCGCATAAAGAAGAAGCAAAGATTTTGTCTTTTCGGCATATTAAAATTTCGATTGTTCTCTTCAGTCGCAAACACAATAAAAGCTGGATTCATGGATAGTTATATACTGGGGGAAAACTTGGCACAACAATCGAAATGTCAAAATCAAGACCACGGTAACCTAAATGAATGTCTCAAGGATGTATCCGTTCATGTTGTTTTCCGCGACGATTTGCCAAAACGCTGTCAAGCAACCAGTTGCCAATTAACAACATCAATCTAGCAAGGGTAGCGTCAGCGCACATCGACGCCTGTCTTAAACAAGAAGGAAAGTTCCTCGAGACGCAGAGGCGGTTCGCATGCGTGCTCAAATAGTTGTCGTTGGTTTGCCGGTTGAAATTTGAGGCCTTTTCCGCTGACATTTTCCGTCGCACAAGAACGAAAACAGTCCGCAATCTGCAGGGTCCCCTTGCAAAATCCCCAAATGTTGCCTTCCCTACTGAGTGCTTAAAGCATGTATACAAGCTGCCATCTGTACAGTCCACGCACACACAATTGAAAGTTCTCTCACTTGGAATGAAGTATCGATTGCCTCCAAAATCTGTAGAAAAGCTCAACACTCAGACTCAGTTTGAGTATCTGAATGAACAGCTCAGTAACCATGTGCCAATGTTAATGGAAGATGCGGGTTGGTTCCGGGCAAACTGGTAGATATTGCGAACCAATTCACGAACACACCGATAAGCCACAGATGCTGTGTGAAAGCCGAAAACTATATGGCGATAAAGGAGTTAAAACAAATGGGACACGTAATGTTTCTGCAGCCGGATAAGGGATCAGGCATTGTTATAATGGACCGAACTGACTACATTGCAAAGATGGAATCTATTTTGGGGGACAGAAAGAAGTTCCAGTCAGACAAGACACCAAAAAACAGCATCTTGTTCGAGAAGCAAGTGGCGAGGAAACTGCAGATTTTTTACTACATGGTTACATCAATGACTCGCAATACAAGCGGTTGAAACCGACCGGCACTCAGATACCCAGAATGAGGGGCGCTCCCAAATTACACAAGGCAGGTAAGCCACTGCGCCCGATTATGTGTATGAACAACTCACCATATCACAACGTTGCGCGGTGGCTAGTGAAAATTTTGGAGCCGGTACGCAAACTCCTGGCTACGCATTGTCTAAAGGACTCCTTTGAATTAGTCGAGACACTGGAACACATGTCGCTCGGTGCGGAGCACGTGTACTCAATAGACGTCGATTCCCTATTCACAAACGTGTCTCTATGTGAGACGGTTGAAGATTTGTGTGATTTCATCGCGAGTCAAAACATGTCTGTTGGCCTGCCGCTGGAGTATTTGAGGGATATGATCCTACTATGCACGGAAAATATACGGTTCGAGTTTGAGGGCGCTGCTTATAATCAGGTCGACGGCGTCACCATGGGTAGCCCACTTGGACCAGTATTAGCAGAAATCTTTCTCGGCCTGAAAGAAAGACAAGTTACTGCCAGCATTGGTGAAGCTACGTTGTACAAGCGGTATGTGGACGACATCCTAGTCTTCACCAGCAACGAACATTTTGCGTGGCTGTTGACAGTTCTGAATTCAGTTCATCCAAATCTATCTGTGTCCCATGAGTTGGAGTAACATAATAGTCTGTCATTTTTGGACATACTCATTAAGAGACGGACCGATGGTACACTACAGCGCACGGTTCATCGCAAGGCAACTTGGAGCGGGCAGTACCTCCACTTTTCCAGCTTTGCCCCGGTCACGTGCAAATGTGGCCTAATGAAAACGCCTCTCTACAGAGCCAGACGCATATGCAGCCCCGAAATGTTGCAAGCTGAAGAAGAACTTTTGTTCTAAGCCCTGGTGTCAAATGGGTATCCTGAGAAGTTCATTCAGATCCACAGCAGGCCTCCAAAGGAGAAAATACCGGTGTTAACCGCAGAGAAAAAGAATGTTTACTTGTTCTTGCCGTTCAAAGGAGACCATGTATCGAATGCTATCATACATAAACTCCGGTCCGCCCTTACGCGCACCTACGCGACCGCTCAGTTGCGACTCATACATACAACGCGAAGCCTTGTTCTTCATGACCGTCAGAGCAACTCATCAGTCAGTTCGGCCTCTCACGTCGTTTACCAGTTCACCTGCGGTTGCGGTGACATTTACATAGGCAGGACTGACCGTCAGTTAGTTCAGACGTAGCTGTACGTGTGCCGAGGTGGCTGGAGCAACTGATGACGCAACAAAACGGAGTGGATCCGAGGATGAACAGGAGTCCCGCATCATCTATCACCGAGCATCTCTTGGCAACTCGACATCAGGTGAACCCGGAGACTGCGTTCAAGGTGTTGGTACACAACAACAATCCGAGTATCTTGGCCATTAGTGAGGCTTTGCTAATTAGGGCTTATCAACCTGTGTTGTGTGCACAGAAACTATTGAGACATTCCATTAGGTTACCGTGGTCTTGATTTTGACTTTTTGATTGGTGTGTCAAATTTTCCCCCTGTATATAATTGTTTATGAATCCTGCTTGTATTGTGTTTGCGACTGAGGAGAACAATCAAAATGTTAACATACCGTAACTTATGTCTTCTCACTGCTCTGGCGAAATGGCTGAAGGGGACCCACTGTTTTACTTTTTGGTATAATAAGAGAAAAACACCTCAAAAGCAGACAGTTCGTAAATAAGCAGTAAATTTTTGCAATAGGTGATTTTAAAACCAGTGTTTAGTGATACAGGTGCGATGAACACAAATGGGTGCAATCTAAGCGTCTGACGCTGTAAGTTGGCTAAATATTACGTATACTAAATATACCATATGATCAGGAAAAGTGAAAAAAGGAAGCGTTAGACTGCAATGTAGTCAAAGAACCGGATGATACAACTGGAGGAAAGGGATACCTGAGGGTTGGAGAAAAGCACTTCGTTTCATAAATGTGGGTACTCTAAAGTTGATTTTCTTCTTACTTGAAAGAGGTGGTTATATGTTTTACCTCTCAGTTAGTATCTTGAAAGATACAACGTTTGCTGAATATGAATATTTAGACGCATAATATCAGAAGAATTCTTGGACAAATTACTGCCGCTAGAGATGAGTCTGTAGCCCCTTTAAAAGGAAGCATGTTTCAGAACAACTACTGGTGCATACATTTCGGACTAAGTGCTAACTTGTTTAATCTGGACATGATACCAATGTGATATGCAGTAGCCTCAGTTTATTGGTTTCAATGATTTAGCCAACTGCAAATTGTGACGCAAAAAGGTTTTCATTGCCTTCAACTATGCACCATTTAGTTTTGGGAAATAAACACTCATGTTTATTTGAATGCAGCACGCTAGCTGCCTATGCATTACTTCCAAATGAGTGTGAGGATGTAGTCTGGAATGCTTCATGACACAATCCACTCCAAATGGTAAAACAGCAGTTCTTCGATAACATTTCAGTATGTAGCACCCACTGTTTATCCAGCTGTAACAAAGAATATGTTCCGTAAGAATCAATAAGATTTAAAGACTTAATTTGAGGTTACAGAATATCTTCCAACTCATACACTTGACGAATAATAGGTATATAAGTTATGAACGGCAAACACAACAAATATACAGCCCCTCTAAATGTTCGAGATGAAAACAACATGAACAGTGCCAAATGTCATTCAAAAAAATAAAACGCTAATAGGTGAAATCGCCTTGATGTGAACCCGAACACGTTTGTGTCTGCACCTACCAGGACTACATGTAGACGGCAGATGTGCAGGCTATCTCTTTACTGAGCGTCGTTCTTTGGCCTACACGATACATATCCCGTAATATCCATGGGCCAGGCTATCTCCGCTTTTTAATGCCGTTTATTTAGTTAGTTTTACTAAGTATGGATTCAACTACCACAGGCTTTCTAGGGGGCTACTGCTCTAACTCTGCCTTTCTCTTCTGCTCTCTGCGCTCCAACTGAGCCGGGGAAGAAACAAACACGCAAGAATGCTAGGCCAAAGCATATTAGGAACAGAACCCGGTTGGTTATATAGGTCACCTACTATCATCTTCGGCAGCACGTTCTGAGAGGACCTAAGTCATATACCTGGACAGGTTCCATACCTGCTTTCGTTCCACACTGGTCAGCTATAGTCGCGCTCATTTACTCCTGTAGCGTAGAAACCTGTATCATGCTGACGGGCTAATTGGATCAGCTTACCGCGTAAAAGACTTGTTACCACCGGTCGGGTAGCCACCCGTGTCATAATCGCAGAAGTTTAGAAACCTTGTCACTTTCTTAGGTTGCGGCTGCTGATTACTACACATCTTGACAATGTTAGCTAATGGCTCAGCAACATTTTATTGTGTCTAATTTTTAAAGCTTAACGTCAAAGTGGTTGAGACCATTAGTGATTTGCACGCAATCACGAGGTCGCCATGCAGCTATCGTTACTATCTATTGCACGACCCAAGAATTTCAGTCTACGTTGGTGATCAACTTATTTTGTCATTATTCGAGAATCTCCGGTGTGGAGTCTCAGGCGCAGCGGGATTGCGGATCTACCACGGCCGAGGTATATGAGTAGTGAGATCCAGCTGGGGAATCATAAGCCCTTAAGGGTTGGCAGAGGGATTAAACCTCCAGTACCACATTTACATGTGGAAAAGTTTTGGTTGGCAAAGTCTTATACCAAACTTGATCTGTCTCAGACATCTACATTTTTTATGACCTCACTTCTAATTACTATCGTTCGATAAATGCTGTTCAATTCCGCCGTTACTCTTGTGTGTGTTGGTAGTTTATACTCACAAAACGGTATCAGGCTGAAGCAGCTTCCGGACTGACAATCACTAACTACTGTACCAGTTATGTTACAGCGCAGCGTGACTTTTTGTTGTCTCGATTGCTAGTCTTATTTTAATTAGTTGACGAACAGTAAAAGGCTGGAGCGATAACAATCACCCTTTTGCTTTAGGAAAAGTTGCAGGTAGACACCAATATTTAGTGAGAGCAAGTGTACTAACGATAAAGAGACAACTCTAGCAATAGTGGCAAATCAGTACAAAACCAGAGGCGTAACTCCGCCACGACTGTTTCAGTGAAGGATAAATGTTTTGTAAGCGAACCATGTTACCTTATCACTTATATGCAACTGGTACTGATTGCTATAGGTGAGATGCGTGTTACTTACGCTTGACTCATTCAGTTCGGACTTTAATTCAATTACTTTTCGGCAGTTAACTATTTATATACTTTACGAACTAACCATAAGTCACACTGGTTAGGCGGATCTGCTTCGGAGCTTGAAGACGAAAAGCCGGGAACTATGCGGTTACTGTGAATTTTCAAGTTTGACACACAGTAGAATCCGCTGAGGTTGGGAAGGTAGTTTCCAGTTAGCCCTCATTAGATTTGTAAAAGCGTATTACTTCATAGAAGACAGGGTGAGTACTCTTAAATCCTTCATTGGGTGCCACTGTTAGATGAAATATTTCGGGACAACGAGGAAACACCGTAAGAGCATACGGACAGATTTCTGCGAAGGCATACCCATCTATTCAGACTTGAGCCGGTGGTCATCTATTTATCCAGATAGTATCCAACTCAGTGAGCCTAAACGCGAGTAAAGTCTCCATTCTTAGTTCGTTAATTAGTTGCCATAGTGGCGGTGGTAACTTAGCAAAAATAGTATACAGATGAAATAGAAATATTTCTTGACTGGTATGTGTAGTTTAGTGCACTTTTAATATATGCGGAAAATGAGGTACTTTGAACACTCTAGCTTCAAATAAGTAACTAAATAAACTATAATCTAGACACCAATTGTTACGTTACCTGGTAAAATCGACAATCCAAGAAAGAAAGTAATTCAATTCGTGATCGAAACTGTTTGATGTACCAAATCAGTAATGCAACGTGACACCATGATGCCTCGCTGAGTTGTCTGAGCAGCTGCGTAATGTAATTATGATGGTACCCAACGATACTCTTTCGGTCCAAATGCTTAGAATTGACCAACTCTTTGTTCCTGAGGAGGGAAGTACTGGTGTCGGACTAGAATTCCGGGTTGACAGTTTTTAGGAAATATACAATGAAACCAACTCGGAATAATAACCATCTTAGCCTACGAAGTAAGATCTACTTGCAAAGGCTGTTCGTGTTCAGCATTGAATTGGTATTCGGTGGATTGACTCAGAGGTTTAGGTCCTTTAATCTTCAAAACCTTTGAAATGGGTTGGGAGATAATAATAATAATAAAAACAATGTGTCAGCTGTACGCCGTAAAGGGGCTTCGCTGCAGTGCAAACAGCAACAGTTGCATGTAGGCTAAATATAGCGCGAGAATACCAACCCTTCAGCGATTCGTACCTGCGCCGTAAGATTATGAGTCAACTTCGTTAACTCTAGGCTTCGGGCAGACATTTCCTGTCTACTGACCGAGTTGGAAGATGGTAAGCAGAAACGAAAATGAGTGTACTTTCTCGCCGGTTCGGCTAACCAGCCAGCATGATTGACGCTAGTCACACGTGATACCGGTACAACTCATGAATAGGCCATCTTAGAAGAAGAAGGGACGAGAGTGCGGGAATCAAGAAGTAATTTCAGCCAAAACAAAAACTATCCGACAAACGGTGGCCTCAATCTCTATTGGATTACGAAATAAGGATTACCCATGATATATGAAGTACTACAAAAGAAAGGAATATATTCTGTCTAACATTACTGACACCCCCAGCACAAAGGAAAGTCAGCATATGTCAATCTGCAACCGGGTTCTAACTCGTAGGACTGTTTTGTGGAATAACCAATCCCTTCGCAGTCTGACCGTGTTTGTTAAGACTAACGTACGATTAACGGTCTGTTACACCGGCGTACGGATGACACCAGAGATTGGAAAGTTTAACACCATTTCTGAAGTCAGTGCTCACCTCCCCGAGAGCTCTTGCGTGTCACAATCACTTATTCAATTTACCTATACTCCGACTTTTGTTGTGGATCATATTTAGCACAACTTCCTTATAAAATAAAGTTGCTATCACTAGGTTTTGCTGGTTGGTGTAGTGCTTTTCTATGGTGAGTTGAAGTAGCCATTGTTCGAATCAATTTTGCCCTACTATTCTACTTACCGTTTGCATTGTCATTTTTGCTTCGAAAGGGATGGATTTAAAATATGGTAACTCGTCATACTTACCTTACTATGGTTGACGTAAAGGTTTGTGTAATCATGTCAAGCACATTCCTGTCAAGTATCCCGACCTGTGTAGCTCGATTAAGCACTTTTTCTATAGTTGAAAAGAGTGCGGACTAAATCCCACAGTGACTTAGAACCTCTTATATATAGGTATTCTTATGATTTGGGGAAACGATGATCCGGTAAGCACCTTAGTTCCGGCGGTCCCCCGACATTAAGCAGCCAGTCTTTGCAGCATGCAGTTTAATAGAATGGCAAGTGATGAAGGAGGCACGAATACATAAATTCACATTTTACTGGATCTATCATTTGGATGTTGGCGATTCGCCTGGTTTGGGACGCCGCATAGAGGATGGTGGAATTCACAGAGAGAATAGATAACTTACCTTGACTAAATGCTAACGCAGGGGTGTACAGAGCAACACCAATGTACACAACCTGTATGGGAGATAACAAGAAGATAAGACACATTGTAATCTTGTGTGGGTCCTAGATCCATTCAGCAGACTACAATGTAACTTCAGTTATTAAATGATGTTATATCTAAAGTGAAGAGAAAACCCAAAACAAACCAATTTATTAGTTAAGGGACGCTCCGTCTGTATGATCTTGGCGGGTAACTAAATCTTCTCAAACACATTCGTCCCTTGTGGTTAGTTGATACTTGTCATCAGGTAAGAAGATGTCCACTTGGCTAGAGCGGCCGAAGGTTTCCAAGGCAGTACCCAGCGTCCCAGACGAACATTAGGGATTTCACCTAGGTTTCCACCTTTGACCAAGCCAGCTGGCTGATTCCAGCTTATGCATAACTAAGCTGAAATTCAATATTTAAAATTTAACCCCAGCGGACTTATCTTTTTTTTCTCTCCTTTTTTCTTTGTATTGCGGCACAGTAGCTGAGGTGTTCCCCACCTCTAGCTAACGTGTATTATGATGATGATGATGCACTTATTAAGGCTATTATGTACCAACATCAAAGCATTGCTGTCAAGATGTCATTAAGCAAAGTTCAGAAATTCGTTAGAATTCGGTAATACGCGAGTTGCTGGACGGCTTCTATAAAATGACATTGGAGTTAGTCCATATTCTAAAATGAAAGAAACGGTTTAGCGGAAAAATAATGTTACGTATATAGAATAAGCATTATGAAGCATGTTATATGCACTTAGCGAGTTTCGCTCGGTTTAGTGGGAGGGCACATTAATACCTGTCCTGAAGTGTCATTGACTAGTCAAATAGTAAACCTGCTGTACTCTGTCACAGAATTTTGCGTCTTTGTCTTCACCTAACGCAGTAACCATACATTCATTCGAATCAGGTAAATTCTTCGTGTCCCGTGGGCATGTTTTACGGAATTACATCCCATGGAAAGGGTTACGTTTCACAACATGACTGGCGCGCATCGCGTTTATATCCGGACACACCATGCTAAATTCTTTTACAACTTTTACAACTTTAGCACTGAGATTTTTAAGGAATCACCGCACTATCTGATGACCTTAGTATTACTTGCATAGGCTAATTTCTAACGAAGCCACGCCCCAACCTGTGGTTCCAATTGCATTCGGCCATCGGCGGCACGTATCGCGGACATCCACCCGCTACAAGCGAATGCAAACCGCCTCGCCCTACGAGAAGCAGTGCGCATCAACAAGCTAGCCAAACTCCGTGTGAATGTGTCCTAGTTGTGAAACACTCATCTTCGGTAACCGTCCTCCAGCGTGCGACTAGGAAAAAAGTATCACGTGTCTTTTACCACAGGTGAACAGACAAGCGCACCGTTCGAGTGCAACAGCAGCTCTTATTGGAGCTGCTTTCACCTAGCCGCTAAAATAGTTAGCCGAAATGTGCACGAGGGGTTAGAAGAAGCAATACTTGTGTAAATTGCGTTCTTGCACAAGTCAACTAGTATGTACGAGCCTAATCAATGTTACTGATGCGCTTTGGTTTTGCCAAACATGCAATGCAAGCACAAAACAGAATGGATAATATCGCAAGAGCTCAAGTGTGAAAAACTGACTGAAACAATCCAGCAGATGGAGAGTTTGAGGACTTCATCGTTAGAATCTAACAACCTAGACTTTGTTCTACAACACACCCCTCAGAGCTGTGTTCCTAAGTCGAAGTGTAAGGTCAGTGTTACTAAGCGCCCAACTGTATCAGCGATACCTACAATGACAATTACAAACTCTTTAAGGGGACAAGTCCCATCCAGTGTGACCGCTATTAACTCATATCTAAATACCAAACCTGACGAGTTGTTTACAACACCGACATTCCAGAGCTAAGTAACATACGCATACAACGCCTCGGTAAAAGGCCCAAAGGCACAGGTGTACGTGCATTTGCTAGACAAGGAACGAGGGATACGACACTGTTTTAACGACATAATTTAGTGCCCTCTAATATATCCATTAGAAGGCAAAACAATTAATCCGACATTCGGTAAGCAGAAACATGGTGGACAAGATGTTTCTGCTCATCCCAACTCTCGTGCCCTACGACAGCGGTTTCGTCCAGCTTTAGACTCATCGGGTAGAGATAGCCTGAGCTGTGGTAGATCAGAGCCTAGTGGTTTGCCGCTGACGCCATAAACACTATGCCACAGAGCTCTGCAATCCACACCTGGTACGGCGGAAATGAATCCAAAGTTGGACTTGGAGAATCCGCTGTGTGGTTGGGTTGTTACAACAACCTCTATTGATAATTCGGGACACTTGTAGTGAGCTCTGTCATTCCGATCACAAGAATCGTATGTGAAATACAAATCTTTTAGTGTTTCTCTTTCCAAAACTGGCACCCCACAACCACTAGGCTCTGAGTTCCACCCCAGCTCAGGCTATCTACCTGATGAGTACAAGCCGGAAGGAAACAGTGGCCGTGGGGTGCCAGTGTTGGGTTATGCAACACCAAAGCATTTCCACTTCACATATGGTCCTTGTGATCGGAATGACCGAAGTCCAACTCAACTGAACAAAGTCCCAATAGAGGTTGCTTGTAACAACCAAACCACACAGTGGATCCTCCAGAACCAGAATAGTGTGCGTTAAGGATCCTAAGTCCAGATCTGGCGCGATAAATACATACTGGTAGTTTATGGCTAACAGTGAAATTCCATCTGTGAGACGACTGGAATTCGAGTTCAGCCCCTATGCCAAAACGGGTAGCGCATTACCCGAGGTTTGTGCACTACGGCGAAACAATTTTTGCGAGTAACGTTGAACACAACAATGGAGACACAGACAGTTCTACTCTCACCAGTTCGCCTATGCATTTCGTCGAACAGTATAGGCATACTACCTGATGTACTATGGAAAGCGCGACAAAAGTAATATGGTAACCATAGCAGAGCTTCTGCGAACGAAAGCAAGGAAACTGTAATTCTTCACCGCTTTCTTGAATCATCAGAATCCATGAAATATGAACTGAAAACTCATGAGAGAGTGATAAAGCTACGTCCTTGAAACACGCTTCCTGGACGAGCTTACATCTAAATCCTTCCTTTAGCTTCAACTAAAGTGACCGTGGTTCATAAAGAATAAACCAGGTCTTAAATTCCGGAAGAATGACGGAAAAACTATTGCAGAGCTGGTTGAAGCATCCCACAATCTTACCTACCGGCCTAATTCTGAAGATAACACGTACACGAGCAGGCACCAGTTCTTTGGAACATGAAACCTCCGTAAAACTTTTACGTTCACCGTCTTACAGTGTGATAGACACCGGAACACACTTGACACCTGACAGGACTGAGAGGCGCACGAGGGAACACGGCGATCTTGAACGCTCTAGGCTACTAAGCAACCTGACCGAAACTCAACAACCATTGACTCACGCGAAAATGCCATTAGCGGCCGACGGACAAGTGGTCGGCTTAAAAATAAGCACAAATTTAACGTCCTCAAGCAAACTTTTAACCTATAAGGCACGCACTTAACCATACGAACCCACAAATCCCTCTTAGACAACTGGCATATTTTCGATCGCGTAATGTTTCGATGTTGTGGGACATCGTTATGGTAACTGAGACGTGTTTGAGGGAAGTGATCAAGACACCGAAATCTCAATACCCGGAATGTGCGTGCTGCACAACGATCGGCCGAATGGGGGAGGCGGCCTCCTTCTCTATTTCCACAGTGAACTACAAGTTGATCTAATCGATGAACCAGATGTCCAGATTGTCGAGGCGCTTTGGAGTCGGTGTTCACCTAAGGCGTGATGACATGTTTTCTTGAGCATCATGTACCGCCCTCTGTCTTCCATCTCAGAAATGGACAATCAGCTAGCTTCCACTATCGAAACTAGCCTCGCACAGGTACACAGTCACATTCTCCTGATTGGTGATTTCAATCTCCATGCCATAGAAACCCCAGACTCTCTCTATGAAAAATTCAAATTGGAAATGCTGGAGCTAATCTTTGGATTGTCACCATGAAACCACGTTGCCCCCCCCCCCACAGGATTCGGAACGTGAAGCAACCCAACTATCATTGATCTCGTCTTCACTTGCGAGAAGCTGAGGATTGAAACAATATCGAAAGCTAGTCGTTTAAGCCGCATTGATTATGCAACGTTTATTCAGCTACATCTATTATACAAAATATTCCTCTGAAGAAACCGATGACTCCTAGTGTATTACCGAGAACGCTGTTCTGACCGCACTCGTTAGTGCATCCGACTGGTCATTTCTTGCTGAAACATCACCCATTGTTGCCTGGTGTGCTTTATTTCATTAGTTTAAAAAGGTTAGTATCCGGTGCTTTGAGAATTAGGTATCTGCGCGCGATGAGAATAAAGCCATTCGCACGCAGCAGGACACGGAAGTACACGAAAGTACTCTGACGAAAATATAAGAAGTCACCTGGTGTTGAATAAAGGGAAACCTACACTATATGCAGCGATGTCATTGCATGTATCGGGTAAGTGAGCTTAAGCTGAAACATCCACAGGATCCTGTCGATAAAATCTCTATAAACTCATAGCTCATTTACAGGTTTACTAACATCCTCTAAAGTGCAGTGGGGTATTCCTGCCCTCCACAAGTTAAGTGGACAATCATTTACTATATCTGAAGTGACGAACCCCCTAAGTCACCAATTCTCCCTAAACTTCTGGAACCTGTTTATGTCGACTATGCTGTTAACGCAAGTTATGCCATCACCGAGTCTTGGTCATAACTTGATTATAGCTACAGGTGGTCTGAAAACGCTAAATTATCTACAAGGCTATATCATTCCGGATGCTGATAATATCCGATCAAAAACGATGAAGTTAGCTGTAATGAGTTTAGCAAATCCAATCTCTAGATTTTTCCAACTATATTCTGAAGTGTGTTCTCAGACTGCGAAAGCAAGGAATCGTCACCCATTCATAGAAGAGAATCGAACACCTCCAGCTAGCTCGACAACACTCCTGCATATGCTATCCAGGGGCATTGAGTCTAGTATTGCCGAGATGCTCATGAATTGCTTAGAGGCTTGCAAATACATAGCTCCAGAACAGGATGGATTACGGCAGAACCGGTCTTGCGCCACAAATCTGCGTCTTGCTCATTCCATTTGAGAAGAAACCGTTGAGTGCGGTGTGGGAGATGACGTAATATCTCTGGACTTCACCTATCTGTTCGACCGAATGAATCACCGCATCCTCATTCACAAGCTTCAGAACTGTGGAAATGGCAACCCGATTCCCGGGTGGATAGGTAACATGTTAATTCAAACACATCTGAATGTGTGAATTCCCAGTGGCGTCTTTGACCCCATCGAGGTTCAGTTCGGACTGCCACGGGGCTTTGTGGTTGGTCCACGCTTTTTCCTTATTTATCCAAACCACTTCGCAGGTGTCTTCACTTCCAGTTTCTTGCTCTTCGCAGATAATCTCTAGGTAGGCAGGTAATGAAATCGACAACTGAACGTGCAGCACATCAGGATGACCTAGATAATTTTCGAATGGGCAACAATAAACCTGCTTCATTTCAACGCTGGGTGTATGCCAGTGAGTATACGCCGTCAATCTACTTGCAACTACAGGCTGGGGTACCAAGATTTGCAGCATGTTACTACTAAATGTGATCTAGGTGGGAGGCTATAAGAGGATCCTGGCTGTTCACGTAGGGTCGACGAGGTGTTCAAAATAACCAGCCGACAACTTGGCTTTTTGCGTGAACGTTCGGACGTTTTTACCTTTCACTCTATCCTCAGATGCATAATGCCTACATTAGACCTCATTCGGAATATGCTATTCACCCTTGGCAGTAATGGCACATGCAAGCTCTCGCAGAATTTGAAATGGCACAGCAAAGATTGACCAAGAACGTAAATGGTCTATTTCAGCTCTCTTAAGAACTGAGGCTGAAATCCCTTAGAGTCAACAGTAGAAAATACCGAAGCCAACGTGGCAATATGAGAACTACTATAGTTGATCCCATAGAATCCAAACTACGCTTACAAGTATCATCTGAAACTGGATCACAATACCACTCTGAGGGGTCACCTGATTAATCTGACCACAGAGTACAGCCGTTTGGATTGTCGCCGGAGTTTCGTTTCTCTTCTCGTATGCCAACTATGGAACGCCCTTCCTACTTAAGTTGTTTCTTCCCTCACTAATGGTATTCAACATACGTCTAGATGATGCACTGATACATTTATACCGTGCCATATAATCAGCTGTATCTGAGTGCCAACCAAGCACATGAAAACAACGTACGCATTTCCACATTCGGCTTATAATTTATTAAAACTCTCACGAGATTTACTTATCCTGTCGACCCAAGAATGTTGCACAAGTAAAAGTTTTATTCCCTTTATTTAATTTTTTCTCAGGAATTCCGTGAAATAATACCACGCCCCATATTTCTTTGTGGGCACATACTCAATTCTCACTCCAAATCACCGTTATACAGGTTTGCAATTAGACACGTAATGGTTTAAACCGAAGGTTCACTTATCCCTTCGTCTGTTTTCGCTTACTAAAACCACCCTACGGTATTTGTTAAGCACCTGCGTTTTACCGGTGATAACATTTTACAATATTCCTCTTAGCTTATAAACCGTCACAGTCTCTGTTTCTTCCACATTCGTACTTTGTTAAAGACTGCTAAATTAATCCCAACTAGTAATTAATTGTCTGAACAAATTCAGCAAGAGGTATCCTCGAGTGTTGTTATGTAACCACTATAAGACAAATGCCACCACCCCTATTTAAACTGAAATTGTGCGTAACAAGCCCCCCGGTCCCACCAAGTGATTTTACTACCCGCTTTATGCATTAAGTCAAAGCAAGTTGTCAAATTCAAGAAACTACTGCATTTATCTGTTTTAGCCACTATATCGGCCCCGACATACTTTAATGTCCAAACGCGCGTGTGAGTTAGTTGTCACCTGAAATTATTTCTAAGGCTCTCTGATCATTCAGCCCCAGAAGAAAAAATGCTAATAGGATTTATTTTGGTAGACTAATCGGCTCAATATGTAATTTGCCTCCAACCCTTAGAGGGGAGATTTCAATACCCGAAGTGTATTCTGACGATACACGTGCGAAATGTATTATATTTGTTGTGAAGTGTTAATGGTTGTGCAAACTAGATCGGTAACATTGTGAACAAGCTGATTTCGGAGGACAGTAGTTGACAAAACTACTCCTGCACTAAGTAACTGTAACATCTGCCCAGTAATCTTAGTGTACCTTTTGATACCTTGATTTCCTATCGTTATTTGCTTTATCATTTTTAAGTTCTGACATTGTACGCCGCAAATCCCAAGTTGCTTACATTTGACGGTATCTGGTGTTAGATTAGCATATCAAACCCTTATGTCTGATAGGCCACTTAGGTTCTTGCTCAAAGAATGTGGAAATACTTTATCATGGATAGTTTCGAACGTCGTAAACTTCTTCTAAATGACGACGGTCGTTTGTTACGCCTACCATTATTAAGAATAAACAAGTTAGCTGCGCAAATAAGCCTACGGAATTTGATAAAACACGGCCTTTATTCACCGATTATGTCGAGTATGTGAGATGCGCCAGCTGGAGCTCCGGTATTTGTCCTCTTTCTTTGCTTCCACCCATTGTTATAAGTGCACCACGCATGAATTTTGCAACGGTTCTACATAACTGAAACGCAAAGTGATAGTGATGCTTTTGTCAGCAAAGAGAGCAACCATTTGGGTGTATCCCGTGCAAGTGGCGGATTATAGGAGGAAGAATCCCGAAGCATTGAACGAATAACTGGGCCTTGCTAGTTACTAGCGAAATCCCAGATGTAGGGTACAAAAATATTGGCTGATGGCACGCTTGCGCCTTGTCATTAATCTATCTCACAAACTTAGTTTTCAACCATAGTTTAACTTATTCATGGTTGTCTTTCATCTTTGCGAATATTGTCTATTTGATTACCATGCAGCCATTGTCAAATGACACATAAATCTGCAGCTATTCTGTTCTCCGAACATGGCGAACTAACTAGTACTGTATGACTCCCGCCTTGGACTTTGATTACAGTAATTGGTTTACCCAACGCATGCGTGTTCATTTTTCACTTATTTGACAAATATTCTTCCAAGTTTACCCGCAGCACTTAAATTTGTCTTGCTGGGCTGATCAGATATGGATACACGCGGAGCATATTCCGCTTTGACAAGTCCGCTGTTTTGAATCCCTATTCGCAGGATGCATTTGCCCACGCTTTCACATGTGTGCGCAACCTTCACCCCTAAGTTCGTTGTGTATACCCTTGTGACAAGGCCCGGTTGTGTGTGAGTTTACCTCCCAGATAGTATCATGGATCCACGTTGGCTTGTCTGCACACTGTGCATTCGCAGTGCTGGCAGTTTCGCTCTCATGAGAAATTGCTCCATAACTAGTACCGCTGTTTTGCACCTCCAACGAAGGTTGAGAAAACAACTTAACCATTCACTATTCCTTAAATGCCATATGGTTGCTGGTTTATTGATGTGTTGCGCCTTCAGCTAGGCTAACTTTTAGTAACTTGTTAATCAACTGCCTTCGGGTTTCACAACCTTCTTGTACATCACTTGTGTACAGCCAGCAGGTGTACTTATGTTCCAATAGGGTCATTTTATTCCTAAGTAGATTGCAATTCGTAATGAGAAGATAGGTTATTCACTATGCACAGGAAAATATTCGGCGCCCCAGATACAGCTCCTATAGAATAATTCCTGAAGGTAAGCTAACAGGAGGCTTTAAGCGATGATACACATACTGCATACAAAAATTTGTGTACCTTGTTTCCTGACCGAAGACACCACGCTTCACAACGCAGTTTGCTACACAGTATTTTTGGGTGGACAACAAACAAGTTCATTCTGCTTAAGCTAAGGTCCTAGTGATCGAATTGATAAAGATCCATTTCAATGTGAAAGGCAGTCCATATAGAAATCGGGCGTCGCAGACAATTTCAAAACACGTAATACAACATGACCATGTAGTCAGTATGAATGACTACATTGCGATGAGTAGAGTTCCACTTGAGAAACTTTAAAAATGAACCCTTATTTACAATCAAAAAGAAGAATATCAGTAGACGAAATTGGTGGGATTATGCTGTCCTTTCGTGACACCAACATGCAAATAGCAAAGGAGCAAACTAAGGTTACATGAACTCGGTTGCATTTATGCTGATTCGTGCGCTACTCGATAGCAGCCGACTTACTGTTATTACGAGCTGTTTTTCAGCACAGTGTGTCAGGCGCTGTCGATTGATAACATTGGCCTCTAATAGCTTGAGCATTGAGGTCTTGTAAACCGCATGAGGTCTGTAAATGACTCATCCGGGCTTATCTGGTGACCAGCGTTTACCAAATACCTATTAATTGTTAAGGCATTCTTGATTATCGATTCACTTGATGCAAACGTCACTTGTTCCATTCGTTTATGGAGCGACTTTAGAACGTGGTCCATGATCCAAAAAACTGGATTATGATCAGTGCGCCTAAAATAGCTGTCTTCACAGCTACGTCGGAATTTGTGTAGGGAAGTGGAGATGATGCGCTTCCACACTGGTGTCTTCGCTGAACACTTAAGCTGTGGCCTTGTGAAAATTAGCAAGCGTTGCTCTGCTGCATCGTATGCCATTTTTAGCAAGGCACATATTGCTTTCGTGGTAACTTCCATGCGGTGGTCACTTTTGAAAAACAGCCGACAGTGACATTGACACTACCGTGGGAGCGAGTAACGTACCAATCCGAAACACACCAATCGAGTTCATGTTAGCTAATTTTGTTCCTTTGTTATTTGCATATATGCGGCCGACGAAACAGCTCGAATAGGCTGCGCCATCCCACACCTGTCTTCTGCTATTCTTCTTCGGCTTTTAGTTTCGTTGAAAATGTTTATGCACTGCTATTCATTATGATGCAAGCAATGTGAGTAGCTTACCATCTGAACCACAAACGCAAATGACGTTGCGAGACGGACAGATTTGCCAAATCGGTATTCAAGGTACTAAAAGGAAAGAACACGCCAAAAGAGAATTGTATGCACAAAGTTTTCAACCCTGGTGGGGTAAAAATTATGTCAAGCAGTAAGCCACAGTGATATAATCGAGCATAGACCTAATACGTTGATGAGCATATCGATTGAATCATTTGAGGTTTTTATCCGAGGGCAGCTTGCTTTTACTTTAGTATTCCTTTTAGCTTCCTTGCCATTGCAACCTTTTGGTCAATTTATCCGTCGTTTTTGATGTAGGTGCGTGTTTCTCTGCAGTCGAAACATTGATCGAAGCATGGGTTTGGTGTCGACCGAAGTATTTCAAGTGTAGATATAGACTGACTTACAAATTAAAAAAGCTACGGGTTTGGCGTTGTGCTTTTCGTCATTGAACTGTTGCTGATTTGGTACCATTGAGTATCAGTGAAAAAACTGATAGAATCAAAATATCTAAAGAATTATCCTTGATATTTTTAGCTTGTTTTAAGAGTAAGCGTAGTAGTAATTGATCATGTTTACTCTGTGCTGTGCAGCTTCCATTAGGATACAAACGTACTATCTGCATCGAGCCAAAATACAACTCGGGCAAGTAGGGGGCTCAGCAGATTTTGTTTAATACTTGGAGACCTGTAGAGCAAGGGCAACTTTCTTGAAATTTTTGATGTTTTAACTTTTACGCTTCTACACCATATCATGTTCTTCGTGTAAGGAACATGATTCTTCACCAAAACTACCTTTGTGTAAATGTTCCACATACTGCCTTGAAATTCTCACTTTCCTGTAGGAACAAGTCGCGGGTTATAATTTGACGTCCCTGAGACATGACTCAAAGTAGATGAAGGCTTTATGTTCATCTTAACCTTTGATATAATGAACCGAACACGTTGTTTTCCACTATTCCAGTGGCTACAAGGATAACAGACGTCCGTTGTCGAAACAACACTTTGCTGCTTCTGGATTTGGTGCAATCCTTTGTTGCTGGTTTCGGTTATGTGATATTAGGTCTATGTGAGGTAATAGCGAGGAACCAAGTTCCTCTGATTGTAATGCTTCCAGCTTACCTCGTGGGCGCTTGTCACCTTCAGATTGTAGAGTACTGGCGTATAAACCTCGGCAGAAATAGAAAATCCAATAATATGGGCAATTGTCAAAAGAAAATATTGGATTCCATACAGATAGGCTTCCTTCGCAGTTCCGAGAATAGACACAGCAGAGAGGAAGCTTGCCATCACGCTGGACAGAACAGGATACAATGTCAACTGTCGGCTGCCCAAAAACAAATCGTCCTTCATATCCTCTTCAACCTCCTTGCATTCAGCCGAGCTGGAGCGGTGGATAGCATGTCTCAAAATTCGCAGAATTGGAAGGCGAAATTTTTGATAAATTCCGACCAACGAATAAATGAACAGTGTTATAGCAAAGACGAGGTAATCTGACCAGTGGAAAACTGCTGCCATTTGGGTTCCTTCTGAAAAGTTTAAAGTTGCTGTTAGAATGCAAGTAATCAACAGAGGCACTGCGCTCAGTAGTAGCAAGAGGTATAAAGGGATTTCTCATTACATGTCTGAAATGTGCAATGACGTGCTCCTACTGAATGTTTCAAGAAAGCAAACGTGGTGGCAAAAAGGGGCAAACAACGCGTCATTGTTTTAGTAATACCAATTGAAATTGGTCACCTAAATACTTTTTCCAGCTGCACTAAACGTACGCGCACCCTCCCGCGGATTACGCTATCCAAGCTTGATATTCATTTTTGAAGCTGCGCCTTGCATTTCCAGGGACAATGTCCATGATTAATTCTAGGAATCTGCGTCACTTTCGTACCCGCAAAGGAGGGAGGAATGTAGGGTTTTCAGTGGATGCTACGGACGTCTAAGTTAAGATATCACAAAGGTACGACATATACTGAGCGATGTGAGTCACGTACGTTGGCGATTGATGAATATGAGGCATGATGACAGCTTCAGTTAGTTGTATAGCTGTTTGGAATACAAACTAAATTACTTGTTTCAGCATGTTTGCGGACTGTGGAAATCTCTCACAAGCTCGCGTGCTTCCACGTCAAATTTGGTCGTGTTCAATCTCTATTGGATATCGTCATTAGCTCGACGCATTTTGGTAAACAAATGGTGATAATCAGATATTTTATGCAGCTCAAATGTATTGTAAGGCCCTATCACGCTAGTTGGATAAAAGCAGAAAACGGATGTGACCTAAAACTTTTATTGCAAGAACCATTGATAGCAAGCACAAATTCACCTGTCATATTCGTGGGAGTTAAGTTGCTACACCAATTTCCTTCAGGAATCGGTATATCCAGAAGATGCCCAATGTGGCTATCAACGAATGCTCTTAACCGTCCTGCATCGGTACTGCGAAAAATCTCAGCGTTTATCAACTAATGGCAAAAGATAGATATAACACATATATATAGGTGCAAGACGCAAAGACCCGCACACCATGCCCATCGAGAATTATGCCCAGTTAATAATCTATAAATAAATATTTAGATGTTTATATGCGCGGTTATAGGGGTGGCGCAATATAAAAATTGATATACTTGATAGTACGTTCGGTAATTGCTGATCATAAGTTTGTTATGCCTGTGAAGGAAATTTATCGGAAATTATTTGCAAATAAGGCGCCTGCAAATAGTGAGTCAGGTAAGCCGGTAATTTTAACGAATTCGTAGGGACAAAAACAGAAACCAGAAGTATTCCTCCTGCAGTGGAATTTCGGAAGATTGACTTTTATATTTCCACAGTTCTTTAATGCATATAAATAAATAAAATTTTATTCTCGGCTAAGCGAGGCACGCCATTAAAGCCAGCCATGTTGCGACCACGTGCCGGACACTCAGCCAGGCTGAATGGTCTCGATAAATGGAATACCAGGCTTCATTCGACGCCACATTAGAACGTTGAATGTTAAGAATAGGTTTTGGAGTGATACCATTTTCAGAAAGCTAAAATATGCACATTTAACCATTCCTATTACCTTGATGGTAAGCTTAAGGATACCTATTTTATACTGCTGTTTCGTTGGTATCGACTATGAGTAGCTAACCCTTGTCAACTGATTGGATATACGACCTAGTGACATTACACCAGTACCAGACTGATAAACCATGATTCAGCCCAACGTACTAAGCTGGTTATGCCAGTAGCTGTTTAAATATTCCTATCCCTAGAGCTCATTAAATTAGTAACACTTACAAATGTAGAAGAATATAATGTCCTGTAATGCAATACTAGTTAATCATATGAAACTTGTGTAGAAGCGAATAATATGTTAGTTATTCTTTTGCCACCATTTACACAATTTATACGAAGCAAATCTTTTACTGACTTCAGTCGGTTTTATTATAAAAATAACAAAGTTGTGGCTATGTCAATTGCTTTAACGTGGTTAAAAGATCTGCACGACGAGGAAATCGGACAAAACGTTTTCAAATTATTCTTCGGGGTTAATTGAACGTGGTACGGAAGTCAAACGAGATGGACACTGTGTTGATGCGATAATTCAACGCCATACGTCACATCTGTTCTGCTGGTGTAGGATATTCCTTGCAGCGTATAAAGGAACACGTATTCGCTACAGTTTGCAGCAAGACAGATGTGGTTATCGACTGATGTCAGGAAGCATCCGTGTCCCTGCTACTATCTGTGCTTTGGAGTAGTCCTTGCGGATGAATACCGTTGTTTGTGCCATATCAAAACAAGGGGAATATCGAATAACAACAGAGGGCTAGACGTGGTAAGGGAGTTGACCGAAAAGGCCATTCTCTCAGGAACGTGTTTCTTAAAAGCACCGGAAAATACGTTTGATATTATTAATAGTATTATAGCAGTAGAATGAGTTTCAGATCGCACTGTGTTAGACCAATGCGGGTAATGCTGTGCTGTTAGTAATATGTAAGGATTAGGAAAGTCAGACGGCAACGAAGCACCTTCGGACCAAAGGCTTGCTAGGCGTGCCAGATGTAGACACGAAAGCAACGCTCGCGAAGCAACGTACAGGTGCGACTTTGAAGATGAGTGGAACCGTATATTGTCAGAGACGCTGCATATGGTCGGCAACATTTACCAACATAGATGACCGTCTGCGCCTTGTGTACTTGAAGCATGACAACCTACTGGCTGCCAGCGATCGTCAAAGGCTTATCAAACAGAACCAGTTTACATTATGTTGCTTCTGCGAATATTTTAATTGATACAACCACATTTTTCAAATATCCACATTATTCTCCGAGTTTCTGGTTAGAAGTCTCAGCTGAATCATTGTCCTTTACACTATGCCCTCCAGCCAGTTCCTCACAAACAAAGCATCTTAGTTTAGCAGCTGAATTTCAGTAGTAACGAGCCCTGGCAGTCAGCTTTTAAGTTAACTCCTTTCGTGAAGTAGTTAGACGAAGTTTTGCAGTCTGCTTTGTGAAGGAGGCTAGTTATCACATTCTGAAAAGGTAGAAAAGGAACCGATATCATTTAAACTTACTACTCGAACTACCATCGTTACAACAACAACTACTACTAGATGCGTTTATAAATGCATCAATTACGCAGTAGAACGCATAATCAAAGAGCACCCCTTCAAGTGGATGACAGAATCAAGATACCGCTATTTGTAAGTTAGAGTGACTACCAGGAATGTCTAAAAGAGTTAGGTGTGAACCTATGCAACAATTACTCGTTTTGTGGTGGCATCTGTGCCCCAGAGAATGACGATTGCAAAGGGAACAAATGCTCCTTGCCAACTCATTGGAAAAACAGAAAAGACGGAAATCGCTGCATGACGTTTATTTCTTTTGACTACACCTATAGATCTACTTTCATTAGGACGATGTTTAGACTTCTTCGAAAGTTATTCAACAGCTACGGTATTAGACTTGTGACCGTTCGGTTTACAGACAGTGTTTACGACTATCGGACTGCAAAGGATAGTAGCGGTCACGGTGGCTGTATGATTAAACACGATCTACCGCGGTTGAGCTCGTTTGACAGGCAATTATGTAATATAGGTTGATTAACCTGATCAACCTGATTACGCTTCTTCTACCTACATTAATATTTCCCTTAAACTTGATGTAGGAAATCCAGCGCTTCTATAAGTGGAATTTGCGTGTGCATATTTCCCAATGAAAAGTTTGTGTATTCTGACCATATGCCAATACTGATTTTTATCAGCGAACTGGTAGATTTTGTATCGTTAGCGATGGAGAAATACAAAGGTTAGAAGTTAAATTGTTATTATTCAATATAAGTAGTCGTCTCATAGACATTATCTATTTTGTATAAAGGAAATATGTTCACATTGTATTTTCGAACGATCAAACTTAGCAGTGGTAATATCTTTTGGTGAGACGTGAGACAAGTGAAAGTTTGAATGTAACGCTTACTCAATAAGAAGAACAGCGCAGACTGCGGGATTTAAAAGTAACTATCCACCATCTTACAAGTCTACTTTAATTCAGGTGCCGTTTGTATTTGTACAATGCTTAGGTACCGGATCGAGCAGTTTAGCGTCGTGCAAAGATAGGGTCAGATTAGTAAACACAGAAATCAATCCAGCTCCTGGTTAATACATTAAAACGATAAGTACAAGTTTGAGCAGACGCGCGAAATCAATAGGTTAGATTCTCCAGGTAAAAAATTAAAAGCATGACAATTACCGCCGTAGATCCCTGTGGGAATCTCATTCGTTTCTGGTTAGTAACATGAAAGATCAACTAATTCAGACAAATGATACTGTAGGTCAGTCGTTATAGAGTATGTTGTTGTCCATAGTTAGTTCTAGTCCAGAAACCCTGTTCGGTCCAAATATATTCAAACGACTGGTTCAAACGTTTTAGTATCCTTGTATAGTGTTTTATACGGGGTTAGCTGATTGAAATGCCACAGCTTAAGAGTGTTTTTTTCTTACGCAATCAAAGCCTGCAACTAATAATGATTAACACTACGCGTCTTAAAAAACAAACCCAGACTAAGTTACTGATATACTCAGAAGCGTGTTCTGACAAACAGTTCAGGAGTTAATTTGCAATGGATGCGACCGTAGAACTTACCTCAGCTAAGTATCTCCGTCTAGGAGTGGCAAAGTAACCTGCTAGTTGACCCCGGTAGTTTAAGTTTTTATGCGGCGGCAGTAGCAGCATCACGTGAACCGTGCGCTGTTAGGAGATATCGGAACTGATATCATTCACCTGCTTCAACCAATCACTTCACATACCACACAAATAATTTGTTTTTAAATGATGCGCTCTTGAGTTTGTCTCACACCGACTAATCCATTTCTAGCAGCGTAGGGACGCTGAGTATGTCTGATCAACTACCGTACAAAATATCCTCCCTTGGAACAATTTATGCTTTCACATAAACAAATGACAAGCATAACATGCATTGCAGTGCATACTCTGCTAATGTTCACATAGTGAGCACGTGATATTTGCAATGTCTAGACTAACTGTATGTAAGCTTTTGCTCTTCCGAATGCGTTCCATTAAAGTACAGTTGATAGCATGTGGCCCATGCAGGGAACAGTATCAAAGCTATCAAAAGCGGATCTGTGACGTTAATTAAACGCTAGATATTTTATGGTTCATCAATACGATATCATGCCATGACAAATGACGTAATCAACACCTTCGACGGACATGGTCTGTAGATCATCGTACTCACACGAGCTGTTCAACCATAGGCCTGCGTTTCACAAGTCACCAACCACGATGATGAACAAATAGAATATCCGGATGACATAGCGGCGTTGAAGATCAGAAATCCGTCTTATATAATGTGCATTGAGTTCGACATATCATCTTATGGCAATGAACACTTGATTCGAAAGTTTACAAGCAGGTCAGCCACAGCTAGGCTCGTCCATGAAGCCATCATCACGAGATTACCCCTGTAGGACCATCACACCCAGTTCAGACTTACCAGGTGTAGGAAGTTACCCATTCTTGCTGGATTAAAACCCATGTATAGTGTTCGGTCACCACCATGCTTAGTAACCAGACACTGTTTTGATACACGTTATTATTTTACAGAAGGCGGGTTCTAACATAAAATGCCTCCATTTTCTCGCCCACCTGTCAGTCATCATAGTTCATGCGAAATGGTGGCCAAGCCTTCCCACTTACGTCGATAACATGCATATAGAAACGGATGCTCTTCGTTGTGTTGTAGGTAAGTACTTACACAAGCCAATGCCGGCAGTCGTAATAGGTAGCATAAACTCCGGTAACGAATTGAACGCTTTAGGTTTAGCATAAGGCCGAGTTTTAGGGACTACTCACGAGTATTATTTATAAAAAGCGGCCGTTCGGCCGCATCCTGTTGCTGTGGTCAGGCTGCGAAGAAACGACTTTAGCAAGTGAAAGGAAAATCTGACTAATTAGGCAAGTGAGAATATCCCTCACGCAGGCTTTTCAAAGGTATTATTGTTTGGACGCTTAAATATTTGGCTACAAATGATCTGCAGCGGAATCACTGGTGGTCCACTTTGACGTGCGTTGGCATGCCACCAATGAATCACTATCTAGATGTACCCTACCTTAACATTTATGAGCTGGCGAGAAATTATGAGAATCATTCGATGTACTCAATAAATAACCAGACGGATGACCGATCATATTCTGTTAAGTAACCTTGATGGAATATCCAAAATTATCTGCCCAGTGGTGTCCCGCTGCTCCAATTAAGTCCAAAGATAAACAATAGCAGTAACTTCGCATTATGTAGACGACATAATTTGTGAACCTCTGCACAGCGAGTTTGCACTGCGCTCATAACGAATTTACTTTGATACTGTATGAAGTGAACTCATTGAAATCATTACCACCCTGTTACATAACCAAACCGAAAATATAGGTTAATCAGGGTGTCAACTGGTTGCGTAAGCATGTAAAGTGTGCGCTGATTCCGCACGCATGGTTTGGCGGGCGTAGTCGGCCGTTGCAAGTCAAAATTAGCGTGGTATGCTAGAAGGTAAACAATCGCAGTCAAGTGTACCGCCATTTACAAAGGCTCACTCTGTCACTACAAGTCACGGGATACCAGCAAAGCGCATAACGTCACTGAAATTTCTCTCCGGTTACCGTCTACTGGCTGTGGAATAGGCAACCATTTTCAACAGTATTGAAATCAGCTTTTTCAAAAGGAGGCTAGAATACACAATTTACTGCGTTAGTTTTCAAATAAGTTTTACCATTGAAGCAATGGCACAGAAGAAACCAAACATGAATGACTACAGACTGTTTCCTCTGAGGATACAATCATAGTCACCATGCAACAAAGTGCTAACATCCGAGTACGTGTGAAGTATGATGTGCAATGCCGGACACATTGTGGTAGAGAAACGACTTCGGTTAGTAGGGTCCCTAGAATTTGGGGAAAATACGATGCCTTAAGTTGCGGTTTTGCTAGACGCTTCTCATTGATTCGTGGGGATCTTAAGCTTTTACTTTATACACCAGAGTTGTGCAAGCCGCTACGTATGGAAAATCGGACACAACGCAGAACTAATTACTTGGAAGGGAGCGAAAATTCAAGACGCCTACAGGGTCATCTGACCTGTTGTTTTATCTGGACCGTTAGTACTGAGAATCACGGAGCAATGCAGTGGTCTCGGTAATCGCAGTGGCGCTTTCCTAGCTCTGTTTATAGCAAACCAGCTCCAACCACAACTTTCCACAGACTGAATTACATCGGAATATGTTTACTCGGTGTACGCTTACGAATATTGTAATACGCATTGAGGATGGGAAGCAATGTGTATAAGGGCATTTTTCTATTTTCTTCCAAATACTCTTTATTTTATAGGTAGAAAGTGTTGACTGTTACAGTAGAACCTAATCCCTGGTTGTCTGTCAAATCAATTAAAGCAAGCGCTTCCTTGCACCCAACTTATCATTGTATCTGTGCAGAATGCGCAACAAAACTGTTATTTTTGCTACCCGTTTACCATGTTTTTGACGCTGTCATAGTGACTAGTCATCCGAGTGCAAATTTCGTCGGACATTTCTTTTCGTATACAAACAGCTTACTTTCTATTTGTTAATTGGCGTGCGCAAATCCATAATGTAGTTGTCTTCTCTTATTTAATCGCATTTCGTGCTTCTGATTTTTCCACCTTTTCCTTCTGCCAACGTTTCGACGATACAGTGTCCTTTAGCAGAATATATATACATATAATACATCTTTATACATACTAATATAGCTACTTTGAGATATATACATATATATATATATATATATATATATATATATACAAGTTGTCATATATCATTGAAGTGGTGATCCAATATGCCAGTCGCTTCTGAGTACGATGGCGAACCATACGCCCACAACCTTTGTAGGATAACCATACATCATTCGGGAATGCAGTAAACTTTGTGCGCTGGTGGGTTGTTAACCCGCACCCACCATCCCAGCAGGGAAACCAATCAGTGTATGGAATTACCGACCACTAGTTCAGAAACACACTGCGAGCGAAATTGTCTATCACCATTCGTTGACACCATTTATGCAACTCTGTTCAGGTGCGTAGGAAGGAGCAGCACGGTAGGCAAGTGCAAACACGAGCACTAAAATTCGGAAATCACTGTAGTTCTGGTCGATGCAACCGTGAATAGCTAAAGGTTGAGGAATTATGTCGCTGTGGGCAGTGTAAATAAGTTTAGCTTAAAACAGGAACACTTGCCTAGTGGTGCATTCTACTGCCATGAAATCTTGTGAATGTTGTAATAAGTTTATTAGGATGAGATGGACTAAGAAGGTGACGATTTTGGAACTTTGCTTAGAAAATAACTCGACGGGGACAGGCATGTACCGGTTATACGATAACGGTTTTACCACCATAAGTATAGATGGGAGTCAACAGTTTACAATATATTATGCTGGTATTCGCGTCTGATAAAGCAACGCAGAATAGGTCTATTTGCTTCATGTGATGGACATGGCAATTTGTTGCACTGGACGACAACATGGAATTGACCAGACACCACGGCAGTGTCTACTTGCTAGTATGCACACAGTGTGGAATTTGTAAATTAAATTATGAAGAACGTAAGGTCGCGAACATGGATACAGTCTATCCAGCCAATCCTACGTGGAAATTTTGTAGCAAAGGAGAGAACAAACAATGCAGTAGATCGTAGACGTAAAAATATTTCGCTCTAGCAAAACAGTGCTGATGAACTTGCGCAACACGTTAATCGCAAAAATCTCCTTGATGATGGATACCCCATCCTTCGGATGACAGTGTGTCAAAAGCGATTCAGAAGATGTACCAACTCCTGGGATGTTTACAATTGTATGTCTGATGAACATAAACATTGCTCTAACACTCAAGCTGTGGATGACACGCACAGTCGACGGACATCTGGAGTCAGCACAACGTGTACTGAATCCAGCTTCAGTAATTTTTCTTATAGTAACACCTGTAGACCCATTGTACATCAGGTGAAACACGGTCCAGCGTACAAAGTAAAGTCACGCTGATGTTGTGAACACTGTTTTAGTTAACCAACAATTAATTTCGTTTGAACGTAATAAATGACCTGCGGAAATCGTTGCTTGCCCCTCAGGAATGGATTTATAGGGAGAAAAGTAATACTGGTTACGTGAGTAACAAAACAAGGTATACAAAAAATAGAGTGAATAGATGACCATATTATCGGTACAGCAACTTTTCCAAAATTGTCCACCTGTATGTCCTAAAGGTTGCTTTACGTTGACAGCCTTACTTACGTAGTAAACACTATGGAACTGCACCTTTGTATACCAGCCATCTCTGTTAGTTGTGTGTTGACCCTTTAGGCTGCAATAATCATTATTAATTTAACCTCATTCAGTTGACCATGTGAGTTTTGCCATGTAATACTCCCCAAACAATTTTTTGATCAAACAATACTTTGTGTGCGCCAGGATTTTGCAATGTGCGAAATTCCGCTGACTCACACAACAGCACTTTAAGGTTCCGCGGTTATGTAATCATACGTTATGCTGGCCGTCTGTGTAAGTGCGTGTCCGCTTTTTCCCTTGTTGTCTACCTGCATGATTGCTCATTTCGTAGTGCGTCCTCAAGGGATCAACAGATTATTCAAACCGCACTACCTAGCCAAATTTTTCGAGATGCAGTTAGTAAATGTCTTCTGTTGCTGCATTTGAATAGTTCCAATTGACTTAATCTTCAACCTATAACAACATAGAATAGCTTATTGTTGGTCTTTTTTAGTTGTGTAGTTTTTTGTTGAATGTGGTTGCCACGTTTTATCTTT